CATCGTGAGACATGCTCAGGAGGTTGTGCAAACGCTAGTTATAACTTATAAACCTGCCAACCCGTAAAATAAAATAAGCCGATGTGGCATGTATGTATTTGTTTATTCACCGTAGTTAGTACTATCCGTAGTGCTAAGGCCGCGGCCTACATGTACTAAGTAGTCTAAGATCAGCGGGGATCGGCCAGCCCTGGAAGTCCCACGCGACCCCAGAAAAGATTTGGAGACCCTGGAGTTATAGCGTGGAATACTGCAACTTCACTTCACTTGCACCCCCCAAAACTCCCCCAAAACCCCCCCAAAACACCCGGCACATGCACAACTGATGGCTTCTACCAACTACACCAACTCCCCTCCCTAACGCCGCACCCGGACCTCTCGACTGTACAATACACGTACCGGGCAAATCTCCAGATCAGGATAACAGCTTCCGTTTCTGGCCCATCGAAGAATAATCAGTACCTGCCGTATACATCTACATACACAGGCCACCCAAGATGTGGTCTTTCGGAACAACCATGACCATAGCCCACGACAGGCAAGACCACCAGCAGAAGCAGCAACACGACCAGAAGGACTCAGCCATACCTTCTTCCGAACCACCTACACAGCCTACGACAGCGACACGACCGCCTGCTGGAGCGCCAAGTGCTGTTGCGTTGCCAGATACAACCCGAGATGCATACGCCCGACCGTCCTCAACCTCGCAGCGAACACTCAAACAATTAGGTCTATTCTTTGCCGGAGCAGGTTTCCTCGGTCTATCTACACTAGTCACAAGGCGATCCGTCGTGAAGAAGCGCCTAGCAACGATACCCAGCTTCTACACGCCGAGCAACCGCCCCGTGAACACGCTCCCTGCCGATAGTAGCCTCATAGCACTCGAAGCACTCAGTTTGGCTACGCTGAACGTCACAGGCTTCGGTATCATGTGTACCGGCGGCTTATCCTGGGCATTCGATATATCCTCGCTCGAAGACTTACGCCAGAAGTCGCGGAGACACCTCGGTGAATCAGGCGGTCACGCGGATGAGGAGGCGGAAAAGGAGATCGAGGAATGGGTCACCAAAATGCTCGGAAGGAAAGAAGAAAGCGAAGACAAGGCTGGCTCGTTGCCCAAAAAAGACACATAACAATGAACAAAATAAACACCGTAAACAGCACAAACAACTACAGTATATTTAAGTCTCAAAATCATGACATGACATGGTACGGTATGGTACGGCACGGCATGGCACGGCATGGTACAGCACGGCATGGCATGGCATGCTTTCGGGCCATACTATACCTTCGATAGCGCGGAGCGCAGTGCAAATGCAGATAACCTGCACTGCGTATCGGCTTTCTAGCCAACCGACTGCCACCCACTATGGACTGCCCTTGCGTCCCCCCCTCGACCTTGAAGCTGGATGGCGAAATGCAACATCAGCCATCAGCCATAAACCGTCAGCCTTGGATTGGTTTCTCGGTTCGAGGAGACTTACATCCCCGCAAGCCACCCAGACAACTAGCGTTGTAGTGGCCCTGTAGCAGACAATCAGATGCCCATGCTGCCCTTTCCCCTGGTCGGGCAAATTAACACTGTGGGAGACATCGTCCCGATCTAGGACCATGAAGACTCGGGCCTGGATCAAGAAAACCAACCCCACTAGTCACCCTTTGCAACTTCCGGCCACCCGTCGTGTCCAGATATATGCAATTTTTTGATGCTTGCCGATTGGAAGCCATCGCCAATGCCCCGACCTCTCGGTTGGTTTTGATATGTTGGTCCACCCGTCTCTACCGCAAATGTTGAGGTAGACTAGTCTTCACTGCAACGACATTTGTGGCTTCCTTAGCTTATGCTGACGCTTGAACTTCTTCTCCCTTCATGCGGTACCATGGACCCGCACCCTCATGAAACCCTTCTGTGTATTGCTTTTCTTCTGACGTTAGTGTAAATGTGAACTCTAACTTCAAGCGGAAACCCTCGTCTAAGAGCCCAATCAGTCAGTATGCCTCGTACGTCTATATATACTTGATGACTCGGGACCCAGCTCTCGAGTGTAACGGAACTAGACATAGCATTCGGACTTAATTTGTAGAGTTCTAAGACATGAGATATAAGACATGGAAATATTCCATCTGTCTTACCACGTATGGGTCAAAGATTACCATTGGACAGCCAAGAAAGTACGAGTGCAGTCTCCCATCCTGAACCTCGAAAGAGCAACTTCGCCACCAGTCTTCCGGCCCCAGGAAGGCAATAATCAGAACGAACCGAGGATCGCCTCCAGAATAGACGACCTCAGTGATGGTATACGTGGAGCAGAGTACCTAGCGGAAGCTCACGGCATTTTTATTCCGAACGAACCCCGGCGCCGCTGTATTCCGCTATGGGTGACTTACCAGCAAAGCAGCGGTACGGCTGAAGGTGGACAGACTGCGTTTGTGGATCTGGGGTCGAATATCAGCCGGAGCGGCCCCATTTCCAGAATATGCTGGGTGCCTAGTCATAGGACATCGGATGGCAAGCTGTACACAATCATTGGGGGCACACGAGTCTGGCGATCAGGCAGGAAAAACAACCAGAATACGGTGGTATGTGTTCAAGAGGAGGCTCTTCCAGAAAAGGCCAGGTTTATCTGGCTCTCTTCGGATGAACTATCACGCCTGGAGCCGATGAACGACATGGAAAAGCGGCGGATGTTTGACATGCACCTGAACATCATCTTGACGAACACTAGACCGCTGTCGGAAATCCAGCGGATCGTTTTCAGGATTGCCACATCTCCACGGAGTATTGACAATGGAAGGCGTGCCTTGCGTTCGATCTTACATTGGGATCCCGAACCGCGCCTCTACTGGTCTGACGGCAGCGAATACGACCCCTTGGAGATAGAGGAATGCTACAGCGACGATGATTCGGAGCAGGAGGCAGAAGCAGTATACGAAGCTAGCCGATCGGTGCGGCCAGAAGTATGTCACCTGTGCCCCCAATTATTGCAGTCCAATGACACTGAACAACCAACCGTAGCATAATAGTAGATGCCGGAGTTGCAATTACCCAGGCCTGCACCCTACGCGCCTAGATCCGTTCCCGGAGCACTTTCACGGCGAAGACCGCGATTGTCCGCTCGGATCTTCCCACGACAAGCATTGCATCAGGGCCGCTCACTCTCCCAACGAATGCGTAATCCCACGAAGCGAGCCGCACATTCACTGCAACTCTCCGCAGCTCACACTGACCAAGGACGACGGCGACAAGGACGGCGACGAGGACGGCAACGATAACGATGAATCATCGTCCATGGATCTCGACACGCTACTGGACTCCTTCGAAGCGAGAGAGGGAGACGACGAGCCTACCAGCGTCGGCGACTCGCCTCTCCAGTACGCCGACTACCCGAGCCCAGATTCGGCTCTCTCGCCATCACCACCACCACCACCACCCCAACCCCAGGTCCCCGAGACCGCGCTGGACGCAGACGCGATGGCCGAGACGGCGACGGCGATGGCGATGACGCCGCTGGGCCCGCTGCCGGAGCTGGACTACCAGTTCACCGCCTTCGTGGAGCCGCCCACCTGGTTCCCGTGCGTCGACACCTCGGGCTTTGCGACCCCCGAGCCCCCCGAACTGATATCCTGAGAAATTTTCCTGTTTCGCTCAACCTCGAGGATGCTTAGCTAGGTAGTGGGGTCTGTTGCTGCTTCATAATACTTGATTGCTCAGCTCACGGGCAATGGGACTTTCTGGGTTTCCCTTCTCGATGAATCATCGCGGCGTCTGCTTCTTTTGTCTGTGTTTTCCATATGGCGTTCAAAAGCATAATAATAATGCCCGTTTTTCTTGAACTTCCCGCTCCATCGCATCCGACGTCGACATTCATGCAGTTAAAGGGGGAGGGGGGCTACCTTACCTCCTTTTTCGACCGGATCCTTTGTTTTCAGCAATTTCATGGATTCATGCACCCTTGCTCGTCTCGTACCTTGACGCAAGCACTCCCCGGGAGTGTGTTTTTCTCGCGATGCTAGGGAGGTTAAGCTGTTTGAGGGGAACGAGTACTTCCCATTTCCCCTTTTTCAATTTTCAAATACATGGATGGCGTTCCAGCGTTACAAAAGTTGGGGGGAGGGGGTGTGTTTCTGCTTCGTGTCCAGGCATAGTAAAGGGTAGGTAGCTACCTACTGCTCTTCATTGGCGGATCTCTCGGATTGTTTTGCTCTTTTCGTAATCGACAGAGCTACTACTTCGTACGCATCATTCATTCCTTGACGTCCTCAGAGGGTTCGGATACGCGGTCCAGCCTCTGGGTGTCAATTGAACCGAAGTACGGTATAACTACGTACCTTTTAGCTGTACTTAGGTGGTACTGATCATGGAACAAAAAGCAAGCTATATTGAAAGGCTCTATCATGAAAGTGCTAAGTTTCCCTCCCCTTAGGTTGTCACCTTTCTATGCCCGAGCGATTTCATAATGCCCCCTTGACGATAACGGTGAATGATGATGCGCTAGCTCATCGTATAGATTCTCGCTTTCTCCAGTGCCCATTGAACCACTTCCCATGGATTGCTTAAAATACGTGACACCAACCAACACCTGTAGTTGGTTTGCTAGCTTCGGAAGTTCTTGTGAGGTTATATGTATTCAACGTCTATAAGACAATATCATAACAATTTAGATATAGCATCAACCCGCTTAGGTTCAAATTGTCAATAATACCAACAATACCGTCTTGCTTGATGGCCCAAATCGCAGCCCCCTTTAGCCGCTTCAAGCCGAGGACCTTAGCGGCACCAGCCCTACCCGCCCGCTTATCACGCTTTGGGACCTCACGCTTTATCTACCCACTAACTTCCAAGGTTGGTAACTAAGGCAAACTAGTTGCGCCGTAATGCACACAGAAAAACCGACAGAAAAACGACGTACGCACCAAACGCGGGGTATATAGTGCTGAGTTTTTGCAAGATTTTCCATCAACAAACAGCTCGCTTCCCACCAAGGAAGCAAGCTTGAGTTGGCCGCTTGGCCCAATGGTAAGGCGTCTGACTACGAGTACCTCTGTTCTTCTGCGAAAACAGTTGTATACCATTAGTAATCAGGAGATTCTGGGTTCGAGCCCCAGGGTGGTCAAATCTTTCTTTTTGAAATGTTTAGATTCCATATTTTTTGGACTTCTCTTTTGACTTCTATTTTTCTTCTTCCTATCCTGACGCGGGAAGCGGTAGTTGCCAGCTCGGGTACCGACACGGGTTCACCGCAGATTCTGAGATGATGCTGGGCGATTAATTACGTGGAAATACCGGATCACTACTGTATATCACCACCACCTGACAGCACCAAATAATACAATGCACAATATCACGACTTCGCTACTCGTGTCGAGTGAGCGATTGAGACGGTGTGCTGTGCCGTATTGTTGTGCCGTATGCTGTGCCGTATGTGTCTCTTGTTAGCGCTTTTTAAAGACCTGTTAAGCGAGTTGGCCAATAACCAAATGTTTAGGCATCAGATCAGATAATTGATCATTGCTTACTTTAGGCATCCTCAACAAACTGACTATCACAACATGTATGTTATCAGATTCGGGCGATTGCGCCGTATGCAGTAGCAATGCAACCCTAATCCCACTCAGGCAGCTCGGCAAAAGCTTGTAGAAACTTTTATGCCTTTCCTGTACCTAGCTCGAGCCTCCAGGATAAGCGAAGCTGGGGTAGGGGAGGAGGAAGCCTGGCGTTGACTCACGTTGGCGGGATCAGAACCGGATCCGAGCTTCCGAAGTGGACCAGAAAGCGGATCTGATAAGCCAAAATCGGATCAGATAAAATGGCTTGGCAGCTAGCCCCCGTGCACCAACTCCGCCGGCGACATCGCAAAGCAGGGGTCATATATGCAGCGTATGGGCACGGGCATGAGCATGAGCAGGAGCACTGGGGCGGGAGCTGCCTATTCGCATGCTTCCCGGGGTAGTAATCTTGCTTCTTATCTTTTGTTCCTTTTAAAATGCCCATTCCCACTCCTCCCTTCTGCCCTCGTGTCCCTTCTTGTTCTCTTCATCAATCGCTAGGTCCCTTCATTTCGACTGACGTAACACTTATGAGCCTCAATAAGTCGTGTTAGATGACCTCCTGTGAGAATTAAAGGATACCTTCTTGCTGTAGACTGTGGTCAAGACCCCTCTTCGTCATGACGGCCAACCATCATGACGAGATCATGCCTGCAGCTGCAGCAGACAACTTGGAAATGGCCCCCATCCCGCCACCGTCTGCTTCTGCTGGCACTGGCACCCTCACTTCCACGGCTGCTGCCGCAGCGACCAAGCAGAGCGATCGTGATCCGCTCCTGGTCCAGTTCGACCAGCCCTACGACCCGGAGAACCCGCTCGACTGGCGGAAGGGCAAGAAGTGGGCGGTGACGGACGTGCTGTCGGCGACGGGCTTCAACCGGATCATGGTGTCGACCATCATCGCGCCGGCGCTGACGACCATCGCGGCTGACCTGTCCATGAGCCCGGCCGAGTCCGCCATGGCCCTGTCCATCTACCTGCTCGCGACGGCCTTCGGCCCGCTCTTCATCGGGCCCCTGTCCGAGATCTACGGCCGCGAGGTCATCCTGCACGCCTCCAGCGTCTGGTTCCTCGTCTGGAACTTCGCCTGCGGCTGGGCCCGCACCAAGGAGTTCCTCATCGCCGCCCGCTTCCTTGCCGGCTTCGGCGCCAGCGCCATCTACGCCCTCGCCGGTGGCGTCCTCGGCGACATCTGGCGCCCCGAGCAGAGGGGCCAGTCCTTGGGCATCTACTTGCTGATCCCCTTGCTTGCCGTGGCTGTGGGTGAGTGCAATCTATTGACTTATTTGCCTAATACCACTCCCCAAAGAGCGAAGACGCTCGATATCTCCTTCAGACGGGTTAGGCAGCCTGTTAAGAATTCACTCACTGACCCAAAACTTTACGCCACACAGGTCCAATCATCGGTGGCTTTATGGCCGCTCGTGTTACCTGGCGCTGGATGTTCTGGTCAACGTCCATCTTCCAGGCAGTCATGACGGTGATGTCGATCTTCACGTTCAAGGAGACGTACGGCCCGTTGATCCTACAGCGGCGCGCGGCGCGGCTCCGGCGCGAAACGGGAAACCCAGGGTACCGGGCCGAGACGCGCGACACGGGCCGCTCGGCGCTGGCCGTGCTGGCGTCCGCCTTCACGCGCCCGCTGCGCCTCCTGGCCTTCCACCCCATCATCCAGGTCATGGCCGTCCTGTCCGCCTTCGAGTACGGCGTCCTGTACATCGTGCTCTCCACCTTCTCCGAGCTCTGGACCAGCCGCTACGGCCAGTCCGTCGAGATCAGCGGCCTGCACTACATCGCCTGCTCCCTCGGCGAGCTCATCGGCTCCCAGGTCGGCGCCCGCTCCATGGACTTCCTCTTCCGTCGGCGGAAGCAGCGGGCGGAAAAGCAGCAGAGTCCCACAGACGCCGCTGCCAGTCACGATATCATCGAGAGCGGCAGTGGCAGTGGCAGCGACGGCGCGACCGGGGACGACTCGCCCGAAAGCCGACTCCCGCTCTCGTTCCCGGGGCTGTTCATCATGCCGCTAGGGATGATCTGGTACGGGTGGGCGGCGGAGCGGGGCCTGCACTGGGCGGTGGTGGACGCGGCCGTGGTGTTCATGCTGTTCGGGATGCAGATGGGCAGCATGTCGCAGTCGGCCTACGTCATCGACGTGTACCACGAGCACGCCAGCAGCGCCATGGCGGCCGAGCAGTTCGCCCGCAGCCTGACTGCCTTCTGCTTCCCGCTCTTCGCCCCCGCCATGTACAAGGCGCTCGGCTACGGCTGGGGCAATACTACCATCGCTCTTGTTGGCCTTGTCCTCAGCGCGCCTCCCTTGTTCTACCTGTGGCGCTGTGGTGCGCGCTTGAGAGCTAAGGCTAGGTCTAGCTATTGATTTGGTTGATGCAATACTTGTTGGCACCAGCATTGAGTGGGAATGCAACTTCAGTGAAGCTTCTGGTGAAGACTAGAGTTCGATCATGAACGGTGAAGCCATATGGCTCATTGTTCGTGTAGTATGCATCGCGTTTTTATTTAGCTCATGATAAAGGGTGGCGGAAGGGCTAGGCGATCAAAAGAGTTAAATAATGATTTTTATATATATGTACGGTTTGGGTTTTGTTCAACACTTGCAAGCAGATGATGCCGCTGCGTTGCAATGTAGAGTGCACTGCATGAGCCTGCCACTGATTTTCAGTGGGATTAGCCAAGTCAAAATCTAGCTTCCACGTGGTATTTATCACCAATAACAATCAATTATGATGGCGGTCGTTCATCGGTCTAGTCTAGCTTATACCTGCTATCCTCCCAATTGATGTTATCAACTAAGCAGTAGGAGTTCCAGGGCTCCTGGCTGTCCGGCAGCCCGTATCCGGACGAGCAGAAACCATGGCAAGGAATGGACTGGTCCGCGGTACGGCTTCCTTGAGGATAATGCGACGTGCTCCGCAATAGTGCGGGATTAGCTTTCATCAACTGCAACCACAGCGTGACGTCTGCCCGGATGTTCATCCCAAAACGCTGCGACTTAGTATTGTTGTGCAGGACGGGCTGCTCCCACGGCGGACGCATCTCGGTCCTCAGTGACTCGAGAAAGTGCGCATCGTCCAGCTCCGACTGTCGAAGCACGAGGAAGAAGGCGAACCCGGGGCCTGGTCGTCGCGCCGCCGCCGCCGCCGCCTCGTCAGGCTTGACCCACGGCATAAGAACGGCCGGGTGTCGACGGAGCAGGGCCTCGCCCACTTCCCCGTGATCTTGCACATGCATTGGGTTCGGCGGCCGCCTCGCCAGACGGATCTGATACTGATGCCTCCTCCTCCGGTCGACAGCCGTCACAGTCAGGGTCTGCAGCGGCCACGTCTCGTCGAGGATCGCGTCCGCCAGCCGCCGGAGGTTGCGGTCGCCGCACCACTCGTACTCCACGCTGACGTGCCGGACCCCGGACAGACACGCGCCGCGGAACAGGACGTCGTGGATGGGCACGCTGGGGCGCGCCCAGCGGTTCGAGCCGGGCCACTCGATGACGTCCCGGTGCAGGTTGAGGCGGCGGACGTGCGGGCGGCGGAACTCGGCGCGCGTGGCCTCGTCCAGCCCCCGCAACCCCCCCAGCATCGCCGCCGGTTCGATCTCGAGCGAGCCGCCGTACCAGCGCAGCACCTCCTCGCGCGCCTCGCGGCTGGCTTGCGCCGCGGGCGGGAGCCGCGGCGCCGGTCGCGCGGAGTCCAGCCGGATCTGGTAGCACATCCACCAGATGGCCTCGTCGGCCCAGTTCCACGCGTCCAGGTCCTGCTTGAACCGGACCGCGATGTTGCGGCGCGGCATGGCTTGCCGCCAGATCTGGAGCCGTAGCTCGGTGGGTAGCCGGCTGAATTGCGGAAACGATGATGGTGTTGATGAGGATGATGGTAGAGGGCAAGGCTTCTCGACGTCCTTGTCCATTGTGGGGTCGGCTGGGCGTGGCTGTCCAGTGGCGAACACACGGTAATCGGCGATGTTGATAAATTAGTGTGTCATAGGATCAGGTGTGAAAATGGGCGGAATATTTTGGAGTTGGAAGGTTAAATACTGAAGAAGGCGGGGCTTATAAATAGTAAGAATACAGCAAACAACTCGGAGTATTGTAGCTTAGCAATAGGTAGAACAATAAGGGGCTGTATGCGCTAAAACGATAACAGCTACTTAAAGGATAAGCGTCTGGACCCGAATCAAGCCCAATCATCCTACCTTAGGCAATCAAGTAGGTACCTACGAATCCTCGTATGATACTGGTAGGGGTAGGTATCTTGTTCACACATGCCGTCCCATGTACGACGTAGGTTGATTTTGATGTTCAATCAAGCTTTATGCGGCAAGGACAAGTCACAAGATCATGGATCTCACACAGGACGATCCGGGATGCTTCGACTTTGAACCTAATTGGCTGCTTGCTCTTCCCCAATACTCCCACCCGTCCACTTACCATGGGCCAGAAGACTGTGTTCGTTAGCTTCATACCATTCTTTGCTTCTCTGGAATTCAACGCGTATTCCTGCTGACTCTAAATATATTAATGTTTAGTCGAAGACCACTCAGGATCCTTCAGCCG